TCATATATATATATAGTATGTTAGGCATTAGACGAGTGCATAGAAAGATTGAAAGTGTGTGAAGAGTGTGAGAAAATAAAAGTGTTGAAACACTTGTGAGAAAAATAGAAGAGAGATTTGTGAGAAATACAAAAAAGAGATTAGTATTGTAATATTTTGTTCTTGAGTGAAACTTGTTATCTGAAGATAGTGGGTGATATTAAATCACTAAGAAATTTGAACCTATGTATAGAACAGAGGACATTAATAATCAGAAAATGGATTGGCTGAAAGAATGAACCGCACACTTCTGGAGGTGGTCAGGGCCTCTTTGTTTGGAATGAATGTTCCTTCCTCCTATTGGGGGGAGGCTGTAACCTCTGCAGCATACCTTATAAATAGGACTCCATCTAGTGTTCTTAATTTCCAAACACCCTACCAAGCTCTTAAATCTCATTTTCCAACCCCACACTCCTCTAACCTTGAACCCCGCATCTTTGGTTGCACCACATACGTCCATATTCCAAAAACTTAGAGGTTTAAATTGGATCTTTGTGCGAAAAAATGTATTTTTGTTGGATATTCAGATGTTCAAAAAGGATATCGCTATTTTGATCCCCTTTTCCACAAAATACATGTTACTTTAGAGGTCACTTTCAGGGAGAATGAGCCTTATTATTCAGGGGGAGTCTCCACTTCTTCTTCTCAGGGGGAGCAACCATCATCACAAGTTAATAGAGAAGAAGAATGGTGGATCTCTACTCATATAGCACCTATCTCTGCCTAAAAAACACAGAGACCTCAACCAGATGCAGCACACATTGGTGAATTCGAGATAGAACAACATACAACACCTGAAACAGTCACGGATAACATAATTGCTCGCTCAGAAAATCCTAGTCTAACACACATAACCGAAGAGCCTCCTATGGTTGTCCCAGAACCTCAACCAGAACCTGTCACAAAGGTAACATCTATCTCTTCTTCTCCTACAATAACAGACACACACATCAGAAAATCCTCTCGGATTAACAAAGACATTCCAAAGCAATTTTATGAACCTGACCCCAAGGTTAAAGCCAAATATTCCCTTAGTAACTATGTATCTACCCAACGCTTATCTGAATCATATGCATTATCTGTTAACCAATTATCTAGTGTGTCAATTCCAAATAGTGTACAGGAAGCATTAGATGACCCGAATTGGAAAAAAGCAATGAACTTAGAGATGGAAGCACTTCAAAGTAACTCAACTTGGGAACTAACACCTCTACCAAGTGGAAAGAAAACAATAGGATGAAAATGGGTGTTCATAGTGAAATTGAAAGAAGATGGGAGCATAGACCGATACAAAGCAAGATTAGTAGCCAAGGGATACACACAGAAGTATGGGATTGACTACCAACAAACCTTTGCTCCGGTGGCTAAACTCAACAACATAAGGATATTAATCTCATTGGCAGCTAACAGGGACTGGCCCTTGAAATATTTTGATGTAAAAAATGCATTCTTAAATGGTAACTTGGAGGAGGAAGCTTACATGGACATACCAACAGGAGTACAACTAACTGAGTCAAAAGAAAATCTGGTCTGCAAATTAAAAAAGGCCATGTATGGACTCAAACAATCACCAAGAGCATGGTTTGGGAGATTTTCTGTAGCAATGAAGAGATTTGGGTACAAACAGAGCAATTGTGATCATACTCTGTTTTATAAACACCGAGCACAGAAAGTAACTATTCTAATAGTATATGTAGATGATATGATGCTAACTGGAGATGACATTGACGAGATGAAGTCCCTTGAACATAAGCTGGCAACTGAGTCCGAAATGAAGGATTTAGGTCCCCTGCAATATTTTCTCTGGACAGAAATTGCAAGATCTCAAGATGGCATATTTTTAACTCAGAGAAAATATACTCTAGACCTGCTATCAGAAATCGGAATGTTGGCCTGCAAACCAGCTGAGAATCCCATTGAAATGAATCATACACTTGGCATTTATCCCAATCAAGTGGAGGCAGACATTGGGAGGTATCAAAGGCTAGTTGGGAGGCTTATTTACCTTTCACACTCTCGGCCAGACATTGTTTATGCAGTAGGGATAGTAAGCAGGTTTATGCATTCTCCCAGTGAAGACCACATGAAGGCAATGTATCGAATTTTGAGGTATCTAAAAGGAACACCTGGAAAAGGCATCATGTTCTCAAAAACCAGCAAGAAGAACATTGAAGGATTCACTGATTCTGATTGGGTTGGAGACAAAACAACCAGACAATCCACCTCATGTTACTTTACAATAGTGGAGGACAATCTAGTTACATGGAGAAGTAAAAAACAAAAAGTTGTTGCAAGATCAAGTGCTGAGGCAGAATTCAGAGGGATGGCACATTGCATTTGTGAACTTCTGTGGATTAAAAATATTCTGGGTGATTTAGGAATCAAGTATGATCTTCCTATGAGTCTCTACTGTGATAATAAAACATCTATTGAGATAGTTCATAATCCGGTCCAACACGATAGAACAAAGCATGTTGAAGTGGATATACATTTTATAAAGAAAAAATTGGATCAGAAAATCATCACTACACCATTCATCAGATCAGAAGATCAACTTGCAGACATCTTGACTAAAGTAGTGTCGGGAAGAGCTTTAAAGGAGACAATTGACAAGTTAGGCATGTGTGACATCCATACACCAACTTGATGGGGAGTGTTAGATTAAGGAATTGTTTAAAATCAAAATATTGTTGTGTATAATTCTGTTTAGGAATTTGTTGAGATAGTTTCTATCTAATGATTTTCATTGTTGGTGTTTTTTTCTCATTTAAAAAAACATTACTCTATGTCCTTTAAAAGACAAACACTAAATCCTATAAATATATATATATATATATATATATATATATATATTCATATAAAATATGATTTTTATCAATTCAATCTTTGTAATAATCTATTATCTTAATTGTTTTTTCAAATCTTGTGAAAATGAAGTAATAACAAGAATATAATTAAATGGTATTCATTTGGCTTTATAATCAGAATAAATTCAATTAAAAATAATTATCAATTTGATTTTCATGCAAATTATTTACCAAAATTGAACTTCCTAGCCCAACTAAAGAGATTAGGGTGCCACTTAATAGGATATGACAGTATTACTTGGATGACAATTTTGAATACAATCTATTTAGATCGCATTATACAAAAATTTGTGTTCGAATTAACTTTTTTTTAATTTGTGTTAGTAAAATTTAATTTGAAAAGATTCTTATCATATTTCATGTCAATTCAGGAATTCAAAATTGACTTAAATCAATATTTTTATAGAGTATTGTATCTTATTATATCAAATCAATCCACATGATAAGTAACACAAATTATAAATGGGATTTATTAATCTCATGCGACATAAGAGAAGCTCTCTTATGTCATAGAGATAGTTATGAGTGAGACCCACTCACTTAAAGAAAAAAAAAAAAAGCAAGACGGAAGTCTATGTATGTGTAGGAGAGAAAAATACTCTCCTACGACATAAGATAATATTTTCTCATTATAAATTTGCCAATTATTTATGTCTTATCGTTTCAATTCACAAAATAAACGGTTGTGTTGGTTTTGATGCGAATTATCACCCCAGGTACTATAACCCTTTTGCGTAGAATTATATCCTTTCGCTTCCAAGTCACTAAAAAATTAAAACAAAAATAAAATTCCAAGTTCAGTCCTTGATCAGATTCGACAAATGTCATGCGCATAATTATCATGGAAATTTGAAAAAACTTGTTTTGGTTGTCTGATTCATAATAAGGTTGAATCATTAAAATTATAGACCAGTAAATATTCGAGTCTCAATGCAAAGTCCGTGGTAGAGAACATATACCCAATATATTCCAGTCTGTTTATGACAACCACAATTTCTCACCCATTGAAATAAACTGCTACCAAAAAGAGAGAAAAAAGAAACAAAATCAAGATACATAGTCCCACATTGATGGTATGAGTAACTAATGTGGCATTTATAAGGTATTGAGCACTCTCACTTTTTGAGCTAGCTTTTAGGTGGTATATCCCAAGGTTCTTTACATGGTATCAGAGCTTGATTCTCACCGACTCCCGCTTTAAAGTAAAATTAAATAAATAAATAAAAAGCACAAAAGGTAAACCAAAATGAGCCTGTGCAATTTCCACGCCATGAATTATTGAAGAGAAAAAATACTGGCCGTGTAAAGAACCTTGGGATACACCCCAATTTTTGGTTTACTTTTTGTGTTTTTTATTTTAATTTTACTTTTAAAGTTTTAAAGTAGGAGACGGTGAAGATCAAGCTCTGAGATCACAAGATTTATAAAGGCCCAATGCCTTATAAATGACAGATTAGTTGTATGGTATTATATATCTCAACAACCACGTAAAAAGCTTACACACATTTGAGTATTCACACACATACTTAACCCAAAAAATAGTATTAGTTAAACGAAATTGAATGGAAACAATAAAGGATGCAAAGGAAGGATCAAATAGCGAGTTTGACATCACCCAAATCAAGCTGAGCAGCAATTTCCTCTAGTTGCTTCTTGACGCTCAAGTCAATAAACTTAGACCCAGAACTCCCATACCTAACTGTGAAACCAGACACCAAACTGGGATCAATAACGGTCTTAATCCTCACAAATTTTCCCACCTCAAGCAATATGTGCCAAGTGCTGCGATTCCAACTTCACCACCGCAAGCTCTGTGTTAAACACGAGCTCAAACTCCTCCGCTATCTCCTGAATCACTTCGATCCTCTCCTCTGCGCATCCACCAACACATTCATGAAGTTTCGTGTGTGTAACTGAAACCCCGATGACGTGGCAATGTCATCCACCAACTTGTGCTTCTTCTCCACCTCGATCGTTGGGTACCTGGGTTGGAGAAATAGTAGAACACCTTGTGGTCAGAGAAGATTTCATCACGTCGGTTTTGTTGGAATTGACCACTTCGGCGAGTGCGGCGGACATTCTGGTTCCGAGAAAGCCGTTGTTTCTTAATTTCGATTTGACATATGAAAATGTATTTTTGAAATATATGGCAATTGGTTCTGTTTTTTACATATTACAATTATTATGTAGATATTTGTCCCAATGTTTGCATGATTTCTAAAAAAAAAAAAAATGGTCAAAATTCTTTCAGTTTCTTTATGTAATAGAAACTGTGCCTCATGAAAAATGTTAAATGATTTTCCCACCTTACGTGGCTCCTCCTTAATTGTCGTTCACAGAACGAGGTTGGTTTGATTTGATTTCAATCAGCCACAAAAAATGTTGTTGAATGATTGAAGTTCATTAGATAACCTGAACATGTTAAAATTAGAAATAGAAATGAGAGGCCCTGTAATACAAGCAAGAGACCCTTTGCACATAACTCAAGTTTATTTTGTAAACAAACATCATTCATCAGAGAAACAATGTCGTCACCCAGTTGTCGTGTGTTATTTTCGCTTTTTATTTGCGTTCTGCTGCAGCAACCTAGCAAAGCAATCAAACAGGCAAGTTCTGTCTCAAGCTTCATCTATCACTATTCACTATTGTTTGCTGATTTCGAACAATGAAACTGGTTACAATTTTTTTGTGACCATGGAAAGCTTATCATCATGGTGTTCGTTGAAGTTCTCTAATATATTTGAATGTTTAAATTGTGGCCTAATAGTCATTTATGTTTTGTTTTGTTAGTCCTATGTTGTAATCTTAGGATCACATTCTTTTGGTCCAAATCCTTCATTATATGAAGTTAAAACTGTCGCGAACTCTCAGTATAATTTACTTGGATCCTACCTTGGAAGGTATAGAATTTAACACCAAGTTCATGAAATTCTCCGGTAGCGAAATCAATTTGAATTGATTCAATGTATTTTCCTACACAGCATCGACAAGGCCAAAGAAGCAATCTTTTACTCTTATAGTAGATATATTAATGGCTTTGCGGCAGTACTTGATGAAGAAGAAGCAGCCAAGTGTGCAGGTATGTATGTAGTTCAACTTCATGCATTTATCTCACGTTTATTCTTTGCATAATGCATACTACAGACATTTTGACAAATAGTTACTTAATTTTCTATCTGGTGTTTCTTTATTGGTGCATGCAGAGAATCCAGATGTAGTGACTGTCTTCTTAAACAAAGAACGACAACTACACACAACTCATTCATGGGATTTCCTTGGGTTAGAGAGTAATGGTGTATATACAAAGTCCTCAATATGGAGGGAGACATTGGGTGAAGATATCATCATTGGAAATTTAGACTCTGGTAATGAAGGAAGAAAATTTTCTTTATGCAGTTGCATGTGATCTGCATTATAAGACTTGATTTGAACCATTTGATATGTTATCGATTCACACTGATTTTCTGCTGTTTAATACATGATAGAGTAATCATGTTTTTTATTTGAGTAGATGACCCAATTATAGAATATAAACCAACCTATAAATTTTGAATAAGGCTAGGTAGCAAGGTTAATTTTGTTCTAACTGAATCAACTTTATCAATTAATCTTGTTATCGGATTTTGATGAAAACCAATTAGTTTACCTTGATTTTATTTTTCTTATAAATATCTTAAGAGACAGGTTATATTTATAAATTTTTTGTTTAGAAACTTAACTATGCACTAGGGTAGTATATGAGTTGGTTTATGTACTACCCTTAGTACATAGTTAAGTTTGTAAGAGTTTATAAACAAAAAAGTTTGTAAGAGTTTATAAACAAAAAAGTTTGTAAATATAACTTTCCTCATATATTAAACAACATTATTTTCAATCATCCTATATCTAATTAATTAAATATTAAACTACCAAATAATGGTAGCTTATTTGATGTATAAGAGCGGAATATGTAAGGGTAAGAGCGGTTTATCCAAAAAAAAAAATTAAATATTAAACTAAATAAATTTTCTTTCTCATTATAATACTTTATATGATACTTTTAAGGAGGCTCTGATTATTCTTCCATCAACTACTAGCTCTTTTTTTAATCAATTTTCATCATGCCCAGTGTTCGCCCTCGTTTGTTTATTAACGCTGTGTCATGTGATAGGTGTTTGGCCTGAATCGAAGAGTTTTAGTGATGAAGGAATGTGGCCAGTCCCAGAAAGGTGGCGTGGATTCTGTCAAATTAATGAAGAGAATAATGATACATTTCGTTGCAACAGGTTCATTCTTTTTATTCTTGCGAATGCCTCCAAACTATCCCATTTAATGAACATATAAAATAAGTTACTTTTTCATAAGACAAACACATACTAACTTATCTGCAGACTATTTTTCGTAAACACATCACATAAATTGTTTCTTCCCTGGTTACTATTAATTCGATTAGCTTTTGTTATAAACAGATACTTGTGTTAGCATTATGTTGCAAGAATTTTGACATTATGAAACGGTTTAATATCATGCATAAGTTTGTCATGACTATGGAAAACTGATCCTTACGATAGATGTTTCAGATTCAGCTTACTAATGGGGTGATTTGCATCCCTTGCGTGATTGAAAAATTTATTTGAGCTTTTACTATCATTGACATTTATATTCTTTATTGCTCCAATGTTGAATTTTTTTTTTTCATTATATATAGGAAGCTTATTGGAGCAAGATATTTTTACAAAGGTTTTCTGGCAGCTATGGCACAAGAACCAGATGCCTCGTTTATTAGTGCACGTGACCATGAAGGTCATGGTACACACACTTTATCAACTGCTGGGGGTAATTTTGTTGCTGGAGCAAGTGCATTTGGCAATGGCAATGGAACAGCAAAAGGTGGATCGCCAAAAGCCCGTGTTGCTTCCTATAAAGTTTGTTGGCCATCACCATACGGTAGTAGATGTTTTGATGCAGACATTTTGGCTGGTTTTGAAGCTGCCATAAGTGATGGCGTTGATGTGCTTTCGGTTTCTTTGGGTTCTGTGGATCCCTCCGAATATTTTGAAAGTGGTATTTCCATAGGGTCCTTCCATGCAAATGCCCACGGCATAATTGTAGTGAATTCAGCAGGAAATGAAGGACCTTCTCCTGCAACTTTGGCCAGCAATGAACCTTGGGTGCTCACTGTTGCTGCAAGCACAATTGATAGAGAGTTCACAAGTTATGTTACACTTGGTGACAAGAAAATCATCAAGGTATGTTTTCTTTCACACCTTATATTTCCTGTTATATGTACATCTATATCATTTTTCTCTCGTTAAATAAGCTACAATATCACGTGGCATCTAACCTATCTCTGTTGTTAGGGAGCGAGCCTTTCTGAGTCTAGCTTACCATCTAATAATTTGTACCCATTGATGAGTGCTGCTGATGCGGTAGCTGCTGGTGCTGATGCCGTAGACGCGTAAGAATAATAATACCAAGTTGATCTTGTTGAATGCCTTTTATCTTTGGAATATTCTCTTATAATCTTGTCAATTGTTTGTAGCCTTCATTGCGAGAAAGGAACTCTTGATCCGGAGAAGGTGAAGGGAAAAATATTGGTTTGTCTTCGTGGTGGTCATGTTGGTAAAGTTGAGAAAGGTGTGGAAGCTGCTAGTGCAGGCGCTGCTGGAATGATTTTGGCTAATGACCAGAAATCAGGGAATAAAATTGAAGCTAACCTTCATGTGCTTCCTGCTTCACTTGTAAACTTTATGGATGGCAATTACATTTTTAATTATATCAACCACACGAAGTAATTTTCTTCCTCATGCTCCAGGCTTGTTAAATTCTGACTAGTTTTGATTTCATAGATGAGCTTATTCATTGCATTTTATATCATGAATATGATGCAGGTCCCCTGTGGCTCACATTTCTAGAGTGAAAACTGAATTGGGTATAAAGCCAGCTCCAATTGTGGCAGGATTTTCATCAAGGGGCCCAAATGTCCTTGAGCCAGCTATCCTCAAGGTTTAGTATTTTGTTTAGATTATAATCATTCACCTTTCTTAAATCTGAAGTGAAGATGCAATTGTAATTTTTGTTTTATGTTTCAGCCTGATATCACCGCACCCGGAGTCGACATCATTGCTGCTTATACTGAAGCCACATATGCAACAGAAGAATCATCTGACAAACGCATAACTCCTTTCACTACTTTGTCAGGAACTTCAATGTCTTGTCCTCATGTTGCTGGCCTTGCTGGCTTGCTCAAATCACTTCATCCTGATTGGAGTCCAGCTGCTATTAAGTCAGCAATCATGACCAGTGGTAAAGTGGATTGGTTACACACTTTTTGGATTATGTCTTTCAATTTCCTTATACCCTCTAAACATAAAAAAAAATTCATGCCTTTTGCAGCAAGAAAAAAAGATAACTCTGGAAAGCCTATCCTGGATTCAACACTGGAAAAGGCAACTCCATTTGCTTATGGTGCAGGGCACATCCAACCTAATCATGCCGTGGATCCTGGACTTGTATATGACCTAAAGACAACTGATTATTTGAACCTTTTGTGTGGTCGTGGCTACAACAGTTCCGTAATTTTACTGTTCAACGAAAGGCCTTACCATTGTCCAAACTCGTTCAATATAGCAGATTTCAATTATCCATCAATCACAACTCCTCGCATTGACTTTGGCCATTCTCTCAATGTAACTCGTACTCTTACCAATGTTGGGTCCCCAAGCACGTATAAAGTGCGCATCAAGGCACCTAAAGAGGTTCTAATTTCAGTTGAGCCTGATACTCTAAGCTTTAAAGAAAAGGGTGAAAAAAGAGAATTCAGAGTTACATTGACCATGAAGTCGATAACAAAGGCTGAATACCTCTTTGGGAGCATAGATTGGAGCGATGGCATGCATCATGTGAGGAGCCCTATTGTTGTTAAGGGTGTTTTTGAGGCACACCTAGGTAAAGTACAAGGAGAACAACCCAGGACAAGCACTTGAGCTACATGAGCATTTTGTGCTCATTATGCTATTTGATTGTCGATTGCGACTGTTTGATAGTTGATAAACAAGCACATGCAATTTTGTGCTATTTGAGAGTCGATGCACGACACAATCAATCTTGTGCTGTGCAGTGTATGTTGTAGGAATTAATTTTTAAATTAATTAGTTTTATGAATAAGAAGTTTTAAACAAGTACCCATAATCCTGGCACATTTTGATGTCTTACGAGTTCGTTTTACTTATCGTTCGAGATCATATATTGATGCTTTTGTCCCTTTAATGTTAACTTTTCTTCCACCGAAAGTCGGAGGATTAGTTAATCAAGAGCAGAGCTCAAATTCTATTGAACACTGATTAAAAGAAGAAAAAATGAGCAAAAGGAAGGAAGACTCGGAACGATGAGCATAGACTGTTTTTTAATGTATTTTTGGGTGTATCACGTGAGAGTTAACTGACTTGGAAGCTCTTTGTAACATAATTGCTTAATTATTTAAATTATATATTTTAAGTAGGATAATTGTTTTGATTGTAAACACGGGTTGGTTTATTGAAAATGGAGTTATGTATAAGGGGTTAACTTATAATTCACCCTAAAATTAAATATGAAACAAGCAATTTTGTATCGTGATGTCCCTATTTTTTAGCAAATTAAAGGGATACTAATTATCCACATCAAGGAGGTTTAGGTTAATGCTGCATTTCCCCTCCTTGCAGTAAAGGATTTATTTATGTTTGAACCAGTTATTGTTAGGGATATGCATGGATGAAACCGAACCGAATTTTTTAAAAAACCGAACAGAATTGATTTAAATGGTTCGGTTCGGTTCAAAACTGATTCGGAAGTGGTTCGGTTCGTTCGGAACCGGTTCGGGTCGGCCCTATTTCGAAAAGAAAAAAAATAAAAATAAAAATTTTAAAAAAATCAATTTGGTTTGATTTGAAAACGGTTCGGTTCTTAAACTGGTTCTAAAAAACAGTTTGCTTCGTGAACTCTGATTCTTTAAAAATCAGTTCGATTCATGATTCGGTTCAATTTTTTGGTTATTTTACACACCCCTAGTTACTGTTCTTTTAGCTTACACGTTTCCAGTTATTGCTCTTGTTATTGCTGTATATTGCAAACAGCTAAAAGATCTTATAAATTTAGTTTGGCTTACTGATATTCTAGTCTTCAATATCTGTTACTCTTTTAGCTATATTATTAACACGCGTCGTATGGGTATAGATACCTAGGCTGTATCCAATACATGATTTATCCATTGTTTGATTTTCCTGCCTTGTCAATTATGTTGAATTTTGAAAATCTATTTTAGTCAAAAAAACAAGATCATACAAAGTGTAAGTGCACCTCATATTTATGATGAAAACAAACCCTCAAAGTTAGGCCCAACAGAAAACAATGTTTATAATTTCTTAGTCTACTAATCAAAGAACCTTAATGGCTAATGATGGGCGTTAGAATATGTTCACCGGCATCGTTGGGCCAGGTCTAGGACAGTGTTCATTAGAATGTTAGACGTACAATAATTATTAGTTCAAAGTTACCCAAGTAATTAGGTTCATCATTATTTACTCCTCAAAAAAAAAAAAGAACTCATCATTAGACCAATCATGTCAAATGTTGTATGACCCTTTATGTAGAATTATATCGAGTTTCGCTTTCAAGTCACTAAGAAAATTAAAACAAAAATAAAATTCCAAGTTCAGTCCTTAATCAGATTCGAGAAATGTCACACGCATAATTATCATAGAAATTTGAAAAAACTTGTTTTGGTTGTCTGATTCATATATAATAAGGTTAAATCATTAAAAATATAGACAAGTAAATAATCAAGTCTCAATGCAAATTCCGTGGTAGAGAACATATACGTATATATATATATACCAGTCTGTTTATGACAACCACACTTTCTCACCCATTGAAATAAACTGCTCCCAAAAAGAGAGAAAAAGAAACAAAATCAAAAGCACATAAAAAGCTTGTACACATTTGAGGATTCATACACATACTTAACCCAAAAAAGTAGTAGTAGTTAAACGAAATTGAATGGAACAATAAAGGATGCAAAGGAAGGTTCAAACAGCGAGTTTGATATCACCCAAATCAAGCTGAGCAGCAATTTCCTCTAGTTGCTTCTTGACGCTCAAATCAATCAACTTGGACCCAGAACTCCCATACCTAACTGTGAAACCAGCCACCAAACTTGGATCAATAACGGTCTTAATCCTCACATTTTTGGCCCCAGTGAGCTTCTGCACTTGCTTCGCAATCTGCGCCAAGTGCTGAGATTCCAACTTCACCACTGAAGCCACGACAGCAAGCTCTGTGTCTGTCAACGTGTTAAACACGAGCTCGAACTCCTTCGCTATCTCCTGAATCACATCGATCCTCTGCGAATCCACCAACACGTTCAGGAAGTTTCGGGTGTGTGGCTGAAACCCCGATGACGTGGCAATGTCATCCACCATCTTACGCTTCTTCTCCACCTCGATGGTTGGGTTGCAGAAATAGTCGAACACCTTGGGGTCAGAGAAGATTTCATCGATTTTCTCCACGTCGGTGGTGGTCGCGTCGAGGGTGTTGCTGGAATTGGCCACGTCGGCGAGTGCGGAGGCGTAGCTGGCGGCAACGGTCGCGGACATTCTGGCTCCGAGAACTCCGTTGGAGCGGCGGGAGGTAGTTGCGGCGGCGGCGCCGAGGCCGAATTTCAGGTTGAGGGAAGGGAATGTGGTGCCGGAGAGGGAGAGGTTGAGGATTGGTTTCTGGGTGAGGATGTTTCTGGAGTGGATGTGTTTGGATTGAAGTGAAGCTGTGGTGTGCTGCAACGAAGCCATTCTTTTTATTTTTTATTTTTTATTTTTTTTCTGAAGTAGAAGCAGAAGCAGAAGCAGAGAGGGAGAGAAAAGGGTGAGAAATGAGTGGGCTTGTGAAATTGAAAAGGCACTGTTCTTTGCCTCTTTTTCTTTGGCCTCGGTGGAAACGAGAGGCTGAGATACGATTGAGAAGAGCACCGTAGCATCTTATCTCACGGATAAGATAATATAACCACTGGACACGTGGACGTGTATTAGTGGAAGGAGGATTTGGTTTTGTGTTTTTTGGATTTGCAAAACGAACCTTGCGACTGACAACATATGAAACGAAATGTCTAATAAATACCACTGCGAAATTAGGGGTTCAAATATAATACGAAATTTTCATGTTGTATTTAATTACAGGATAAAGGATTTCTACTCTCGATTCTTTGACAGAGATAAGTTATCTTTAGTAAGCTCAAAATAATGTTGTTTTGGGACAAAAATGAAGGTATTTTTGTAATTATAATATATTGTAAGATTATTTTAGTTTTTATCATTATAATTTTTTAATTTTATAACCCAAAACTACATCGTTTTGAGTTCACTGGCAATAACTTCATATCCAGTGACCGGAGAAATATTTTTCCTTTAATTATATTTAGTTTTGTGCATTATTTACATTGACAAAAAATAATAATATGAAATGGTGTCTCATGCTAAGGATTTAGATGGACGGAGTCACATTGTAAAGAACCTTAGGATACACCATCCCAAGAGCTAGCTCAAAGGATGGGAGTGCTCAAGGCTTTATAAAGGACACATTAGTTGCACATACAACCAATGTGAAACTATATATCTCAACACACCCCCTCACACTAGAGCTCATTGGGCTTGAAGCGTGGATTATCACAGGCCAATTTTTGGTTTACCTTTTTGTGCTTTTTATTTTAATTCCACTTTAAAGTGAGAGGTGGTGAGGATCGAACTTGTGACCTTGTAGTCACTCAAGCTCTGATACCATGTAAAGAACCTTGGGATACACCACCCCAAAAGCTAGCTCAAAGGGTGGGAGTGCTCAAGGTCTTATAAACTCCACATTAGTTGCACATACAATCAATGTGGGACTATATATCTCAACACAGATTAGAATTTGATCTAAATAGGTTAAATTTGTATAAAATATTTTGAGTTTGGTCTGACCTATTAATCTATTATAAACTACATTATAAGTTCTGATCTATATTTAAAAATCAAAATGCCTGTTAAAGGTCTATTAACTTGTTTAAGCCTATCAAAACTTAAGTAATTATCAAAATCAGAAAATAAAATCAACTAAATTTTTATTAATTAAAATTATATAAATAATTATTTTATTTTGTTTTAATTAAAACAAACAATACTATACAAAACAGTCTATAGGCTTGTAGGCCAAGTTTTGTAAAATAGGCATTAATGTATTTTGCAAATAAGCTTTTTTTAACACACAAATAAATCTATCCTTAATGCTTTTTGCAACTACTATTGTATAACGAGCCTTCTTATAATGTAACTTATGACATGTTGTATATGCATATTTGGAACGAAACTCGTGATACGCATATAATGGATTCCCTAATTGCCAACCATCATGCAAGTCATTGTAAGTATACAATATCTTCATCTCGTCATTAGGGTACGCCTAATTAATGAAAGAATAATGCAGGCTTTCATTTCAAAATGACTCGATCTCAGGCCCTACATCTAAATCATGATATTTTTGTCGGAAACAATAACAACACAAATATGAAAAGTTACATAAAAATTTAAATTTACTAACTTGCCACCGCTAAATGGGTCAATATAAAGTGGTGGTATAGTCGGGGAACTCAGGTTTACTGGGTTCGTGTTAGCGTCAAAATCACCTTTCACGTCAGTATCTAAGTGTCAATAGTGAAATAACATCTTAGGTTCTCCCTCCTCATCGTTGTCCATTTCCTCCTCCTCCTCACCCTCCCTCAATGTTATTTGACTTAATCCTTATGTAGGTGCAGATAAACCGATAATTCTGTCTTCTTAACCAAAATATTGTCGAGTTCTTGTATGCATGAGTGATTGACCATAATCAACTTCAATATATATCTCTATAAAAATTTTCAAATTTTTGGTCAGCAATTACATCTATAACACATTCAACATCTTCATCATCATAAATATCGTTACTAATGTAGTATATAGCATCCTTTTTTTTTTCCCGAGTATATAGCATTCTTACCAACTATAATCTCTACCCTACCTATCATTCGATGAATGCATTGGCTGCCTCGTAGCCCTAATTTTTGGTGAATTCTTCCCTTGAACCCACTTAAAGTTTTTAATGAAAATTGAGATTAATTTATTATAATATATATTATTATTTACACATAACTTGAAAGGAGTTATATTATTTGTATCGTTTCATCTCAAACTCATAAAATAAATAAAATGTGCTAAATTTAATATCTGATATAAGTATTTGTTCACACCATATTCGGGTTAAATATACGCATGTTAGTATGTTACTTTTTTTTGGTAGTTTGTTAGTATGTTACTTTAATTTAATATAAATACGACTTGAAAATATGAATGGCCACCCTTATATGAAATAATATTTTATTTTCCTTTGTAAAATAATATACTTTATTTGAAAGTAAAGGCAAAGTACAAAGTTAGAATGCACTTTCGAAGTAAGATATTTAAGCTCTAAATACACTATTTCTTACAATGGTATAATACTATAATTGTATTTTTATTAAATTTGGAACGCATGGGCCATGGCTCAATCAAAAATAATCAAGATAACTATAAAATTATGAAATTGTCTAAAAACCTGTGAATTAATTTTAAATCAATGTTAATTCCGTCCTTTTAGCTCAAGTTCACATGCTCCAAGCTTTGAGTCACCACTCACTAGTCACGACTACATATTGGTTACAACCATCTACATTATCATCCAATTCAATTAATAAGTCGCTTGTTCAACCAATGATCTAAGGGCATGTTTGGTGCATAGAATAGGATAAGGCCGGATAGTATAAGGCCTGATAATATAAGATCTGATTGTATAAGACCTGATTAAATTTTAATACTATCCAGCGTTTGGTATGATATTGTATAAAGATAGTATCCTCCAATATTTTAAAAATTAATATATTAAAAAAATTATTTTAATATATAAATATTAAAATGATATATTAGTTCTTGAGAATTGTACTTGTAAGCAATATTAATACATCAACTCCTTATCATAACGTATAGTATAAGCTTATACTATCAGGCCTTATACATCACACCAAACAGGCCCTAAGGTCTTGTTTGGTGTGACGTATAAGACACGATAGTATAAGCTTATACTATACGTTATAACATTTTCAGTTGTTTGGTGTGACCATCGTATAGTATAAGCTTATACAACATAATCCCTTAATACATCAAAACGATGTATAACTTAATCCGGCTTAAGGATGAAGGATAAGGCCTGATAAGAGATTGATGTATTAACATCGTTGACCAATGTAATTCTCAAAAATTAATATATTATTTTAATATTAATCTATTAAAATAAAAATTAATTTTCAATATATCAATTTTAACATATTGAATATTTTTATTTTTATAAATATTAATTTATATTTTGGACACACTGGTCAATTTTTATAAAAATTAATATCATATGATATTTTTTAAAGAATTATATAAATTCTTTATTAAAGAATATTTTTATTAAAAATATTTATTTTTATTATATATAGTATTATACAGTACATTATCAAATATTAGATGATATTATTTTATATAATATATTATTTTATACAATACCGTGCCAAACGCTGGATAGTATTAAAATTCAATCAGGTCTTATACTATCAGGTCTTATACTATACTATGCACCAAATATGCCCTAATACCTTAATCAAATCACCAACGGAGTCGGGTCAGGTTTATATCGTATTTTTTTGTATTCAAAATTAAAGAATCTCACACACAAAAGTTATTTAAATACATTATGAACATTTTTTTTTAAATATTATAATCGATTCATTGCTTCGCAACTAATCCAATTCAGGGCGAGTCGATTATCAACATTTTAGATGAAAAAGAGTTTCGAAAATTGTCATAGTGAACTTTTCAACAGCACTGATACATGTCAAAGCTTTTTTTTTTTCCGGAGTGGAGTTTCCAATTCCAGTGCATATAGTTAGTTAATGACTATGTCATATCTCTATCCACATGCACCAATCAACCCAAGCGACACTTTCGATGTGATGAATTGAACATATAATCTCGTCAAAACAAACAAAATTTCAAAAAATATAATAAAAATAACTTTACCATCATTATTATGAAATATGATGTTATTACTGCTAATTAATGTTTGTACCAATATTATTATTAGTTTATTTCACCCATAGATCTATTATGTTGATCAAACAATTATATTTATTTTTATCTTTATATAATTATAATTTCTAATATTTAATGTTGTTCGATATGAACATTAAAAGTCAAGTTGATTTTATGATGATTCTGTCTATTCTGACTTAATCCCTTTCTCTTAAATGTCCCCTTTTATATATGCTATAATAGTAATAGTTATTATTAATGGATATGAGACAGTTACCAACTTGTCAGTTTATATGGATAGAAACCTGAATTAAGGCAACAATTTGCGCTTCCAGGTATATAGGCTCAAAACCTACCAGGTTACCTTATTTGGGTATTAATGCATGAGTTTCTTGGTTATGCATAAGTAAGGCCTATCCGAGTTACAAATCCGGAGCAAATGTAAAAGTATTAAATATAAAAAATTATAATCATACAAAGGTGAAAATAAATATAAAGTATTAAATATAAAAAAAAATATTTTTAGAAAATTAAATCAGAACCGTTGGATCAGTATAATCGATCTGACGATGAAATAAATTGATAGTGACATTGGTAATAAAATTAAATGATAATAATAATATCTTATCTCCATTATTATTTACTAACAAATGGAAATTGATTTATCTTCTTTGTTACGAAGAAATCTAAAATAGGTGCGATTATCAAACAATGACACAACGATTTGAAGCAAGTTAGCTACGGATATTGGTAAAGAATTCCTACAAGTAAGGAGACTAACGTTATTTTTTTATAAATCATGACAACTAACGTTTTAAATTCGTAGGAAACTGTAAGCCAACAGAGATTTCTGTTCAGATAGTTCAACCAAAAATATTTAATGGACGCGTTCACTCTCCGCTACTAAAACGCCAACGTGGATTCGAATTTTCAACTTTACAATGCAGTTTGTCCCCCACATAAATATATTTTCAGTATATTATTAGTATACGGTCAAGTTCGGTGTATTGAATTTATCAAATTATTAATAATAACTAATTATTACAAGAGAAGATATTGTAACAACTAATTAGTGTTACTACCAATTAATTTCACTGTTAGATCAATTATATGGATTCAACGATTATATTTATTTTCATCTTTGTATGGTTATGATTCTCCATATTTAATACGTTATATTTATTTTTATCTTTTTATGGTTATGATTTCTCATATTTAATGTTTTCGCATTAAATATGAGAAATCATAACCACACAAAGATGAAAATAAATATAAATACTAATTGATTATTACAATATCTTATTCCAATAATAATTAATTATCATGATTTATTTAATTAATTATATAATTGACCCAATACATCTAACTTAAATACACTAAATTTATATAAATATTGAGTTTTATTAGTCTCCTTTTATATAAGATAATTATCTTATGTTGTAGAAAGAAAATAGATGGATCTCAATATTACAAAAAAGAAAAAGAAAAAAATGGAATGCAAAGATTGAAATGAAAGAACAAGAAAAGTAATGTAACGTATTAATTGATAGTGTTAAATATGTATCCTAGTGTTAAATGATATCACAAGAAACCAAACCAATATTTTGACTTTATTAATTGATAGTACACTTGAGTTTAATAATGATTATCCATAATTTTATTAATTTAACGTAAATAATATGAGTCTTGTTACTGGTACAAACTCGTTCAAGGAAAAAATCAAAGACAACGATCTCAACAATTTTTTTTTGCTCCCCCCTTTTAGTCACGCAAATCAATGATTTCTTCAGCAATTGCATAATGTATTAAAAATACGTTAATAAATTTTTTCAAATAATATTTCTCCGACCCCTATTATTTTAAAGGAAATGAAGTTAATTTAAAAAAAAATGCGTACCTCAAATAAAATAAGATAAGACACACGTCTCGGTTGTTTTTAAAAGGAGATAGAAAGAAATAAATACCATTCTTTTTTTCTTTTCTTTTTTTGAAAAATAATAATAAAGTCCATATCCTGCTCCAGCTGTCGTATGGGCTCTAGCCGAAGAAAAGAAGTTAGAAAAAGACGTCTTCCTCCATTTCCTTCATTAACAAAAAAAAAAAAAAAAATTCTAAACTTCACTAAGCTTCTAACTATTACAACTAATTCTGAAAGAAATTTCCGAAAAACTCAAGAAAGAAAACTTTACCTAATCTGTACAGAAAATCACGCAGCCATTATTCTTTCTTTTCGTTCTCAATTTCCCATCTCTACAATACCTTCATCGTCACCTACTGCGCCGCCGCCGCCATCGCCGCCTCCAACTCGACCTTCGTTTTCGTCAACCCACAGTTCAACCGGCGAGCACTCCATCTTGTGTCTTAACTTCCAGTCAAGCGCCTGGCAGCCACGCGAGCAGTAGTTCACCTTGCCACAAACAGAACACCGCCGGAACTCTTGCTCCCGCGTCTCGGCACGACCGCACCCAACGTGCGCGCACAGTCTAAGCCCCTCTCCCAAACCCCCACGACCCGACTCGAACCACTCCCTCAGAAACCTATTCACCGGCTGCACCGCACCGTTATAACCGTTTCCGCTGGGTAACGAACTAATCAAACCCGCTCGGCACGCACAGTTCCATAACCGTCGAGCGCGCCACGTCAGCGGATACGAGGAGGAGGAGGATTGCGTGACTGCGCGCATAACGAACGCTAACTCATGCGCGTTGGCTTGGACGAGCAACCGTCGCCCCTCGGCGACGTCCTGTCGCACGCCGTAACCGTCTTGGAGGCAGTGGCCTAACTCGCGAAGCGCGTCGATGTGGCCGAGGAGTGAGGCCCGGGCGCATAGAGCCACGCCGGCTCGCAGATCCTTGTCGCTCTTGGAACCACCGCTACCGTTGAACTGTATCACCGCCAGCGAGTACATAGCCGGCGCGTGCAACCTCATCGCGGCCTTCGCCATCAGAGAAAGCCCGCTCCTTCGGTTTTGCAAACAGTAAAAACGGATCTGAAAATAAAAATAAATAAAAATTCTAACAAATAGATTTCAAATGATTTGGTTACAATAACGTTAATGTTAATATACCATTCCGAGAGTATAGCAGGCATCGGCGTTGCCGGCGTTGGCACAGTGATTGAGGAAACGGTTAGCAGATTCTGACCATTTTTTGGGTTTTACAGCGAATGCCTTAGCCCCGAGTTTGGATAATACCAAACGATTCAGACCTAACCGGCTCAGTCTTTTGCATCTGTACGTTCATTTTTATGGGGAAGATAAAATATTATAAGAAATGAAGATAGCAATAAGATTACAGGGGAAGAAGCATGTAAAATGTGTGTGTGGAAAAGTGGAACTTACGTTAAGAGGATGGTGATGAAATCGGAAGGTGAAGAAGAGATGGAGCTAAGCTTGGATAGGATGAAAATAACAAGATCGTCGGGTATGGCGTCTAAGGGATTGTTTTTGTCGGTGCGGTGATTGTGCGAATATCGGAGTGGCCTTCTCATTTTCCAAATAACTCTTCAATCCAAATATGTACCAAAATTTCACAAAAGGAAAGGTTCAAGGTTGTGTATGTGTGTAATCAATCTGTTTGTTGTTCTCTTTGAATTGAATTTTCCTCTCTCTCTCTCTGTATTGGTACTGTTCGTTGTTCTCTGTAACGGCGCAACAATGCGAGAATGAGACATTTTATAGTGGAAGAGGAGGAGAGGGGAGTGGAGGGTGAGAGACCAGCAAAAAGATAATTGGATGGGGACTGGACCCACGCATCATAAGCTTTTTTTTTTTGGTAGATACATCCACGTATCATAACTTGCACAAGAATATTAACTAGTACGATTCATGGAACAAAATGATCAAAAATTTTATCGGCAAAATGTCGTTGGTTAATCGCTAAAAGAAAAAATTGTATCATTATTTTGTGCTATTTTAGGAGGTGAAAAAATTATAACACGCACATAAAATTTTGTAAGTATCAATTCGAAATAAAACTCTACAATTAAAAAATATTAATTATTATGCAAATCAAATAAAGTTATGCATTCAATAATTGAGTATTTTTATATACAACGATGCATACAACATCAAAGGTATTTTTATATTCAATATAAGGAAGACCAATAGTAAATGTTTCGGATAAGATATTATATTTATTTTGTTTTGTATGCTTATTTTTTTTATATCATTAGATTAGAATATTAACTAAAAGATTAGAAAAAGAGTGAAGGTACGGGGAGAGAGAAATAAAAAAATAAATTGTTTGATCCTATAAATTTATATTGATTGAGATTGTAATATAACTATATTGAAAAAAATAGGTAAAATAGACATGAAAAAAAATATAGGTATAACATCATATTCCTGATTATTTAATTTAATTTAAATATATATATTTGTGTGGCCATCTTAAAAAATAATATATTAATTTTTATAAATATATTTTTATATACATGGTGTATTGAATAAAACTTTAGGTTGATTATTAACTGATGAATGTTACTGATGTATTTAAACTCTAATTATATATGTATGTTATACGGAAGACTTAACATATCATTATAATGAACATTGAAAAATATAAACAATTAAATAAATATATGTACAATATTTATTATATATATGACACTATTTACGTATATGTTGCTATATGTAAATTATAAAATTCTAAATTTGCTTAAACATAAATTAAAATATACATACTTAAATACATAATTATAATATGTAATAACATAAATTGCAAAAAGTAAAGTACTGAATTATAAATTAGTAAATATATATGAGGGGTGATCTTTTCGTCTTGGCTCGTGGTCATATTCTAGCCCAAAATCAGGTTTCTCCGTTCTAGATCTCTCAGATCTGTTTCATTTTTCTTCCATCTTTTTATATCCAGTAGCATCTTTTCCAGCCGTGTATTTATATTCAGCCGCATCTTTTTCGGCCGTGTCTCTATCTCCGTCAGCATTTTTTTTCAGTTGTGTCTTATCTTCTCCAACTATGTGTTGGGTATGGCTCATACTTCACATGATGATGTTGGCCCTAATTGTCGGGGTCAGCAGACCGTAGAGGCTAGGTAATGTTTAGGCCTATGTTTCTATTGTAATTTTCTTAGCAGTTTGGGCTTGGGCCCATGAATAGCTGCTGTTAGGGTTTCTTGTAATCCTATTTATATTTGCCTTGTAAACCGAGAGACTTGTAACGAGTGGCGGTGAGGTGAATATAGTACAGACAAGCTGGACGTAGCCTATATTGGGTGAACCAGGGTAAATCATCGTGTCAATCTCTCTACTCTTATCTCTTTTTCTGTTTTCTCGATTCTGTGTGATTGTCGATTTCCAACAATTGGCATCAGAGCTTTGGTTCTGCGACCAGGGTTCCTGTGACAGATTGGGGTTTCGCGATTTAGGGTTTTTTCTTGGCATAGATAAAACTGCGAAATTGATCTGGAGAGGATGTCGACTGGCCAATCACGGGTCGAGGTTGAAAAGTTTGGAGGAAAAGGGTTCGAGTTATGGAAGCTGAAGACGGAGGCTCTGCTCGTTGACAGGGACGTGTGGTACGTGATCGAAGATGATAAGCCGTCCGTACCAACAAAACCTGTCGGTGAAGAAACGTCAGGTGATGGCGAGTCGAAGGAGTTGAAGGCGTGGACCAGAGACGATCGAAAGGCGCGAAGCCTGATCTGGTTATGCCTGGCTGATAACGTTCTGGTGAACGTAACTTCTGAGAAGACCGCGAAGGATCTCTGGACGAAGCTGGGAAGTCTCTATCAGAGCAAGTCACTCGTGAACAAGTTGTTCCTGCGAAGGAGGCTGTATAATCTGCGGATGAGCGAAGGTGATTCTTTCTCTGCTCATTTAAATGAATTTAATACTATTTGTGCACAACTTTCGTCTATAGACATTAACCTGGACGAGGAAGACAAAACTTGCACCTTGTTGTGTTCACTGCCCAACTCTTGGGAGCACATCATTGTGTCAATTGGTACTAGTGTTAATAAACTATCGTTTGAGACGGTTGTTGCTGCCTTATTGTCTGAGGAGATGAGAAGGGTAGGTTCTGAAGGTACCAACAATGAGGCTCTGGTTGCTAGAGGGAGGAGTGATGACAAATCAAAGTCTGGTCACAGAGGAAGATCGAGGGGACGATCAAAGTCCCGTGATAAATCTGATAAATCTGAAATGAGGTGCTGGAGGTGCAAAAAGGTTGGACATCTGAGAAGGAATTGCAGAAGTAAAAGTGTAGGTCCTGAGAAGCGGGATGATTCACAACCGTCTGCTTCGGGTACAAAGAAGGATGATGATGATAGTACAGGGGACCTGTACATGGCGTTTGACAGTCATAATCACTGTAATGATTGGATTATTGACACTGGAGCATCGTTTCATATGACACCTCATACGGAGTGGTTCTGCACCTATGAATCGTATTTTGGCGGTACAGTTAGAATGGGAGATGACACGACTCATGCAATTGTGGGGCGTGGGAAGGTAAAGCTGAAGATGAGTGACGGGACAGTCAAGAATCTGCCGGGTGTGATGCATATTCCGGGGCTTACCAGAAATCTGATCTCCGTTGGTAGTATGGCAGATGCTGGTATTAATTTTAGCAGTGACAAGTATTCTTGCAAGCTGACTCGAGGAGCTTTGGTTATTGCAAGAGGAGAGCGTCATGGTAAATTGTGGAAACTGCTGGGTAGCACAGTATTCAGTGGTGAAAGCTATGTTTCAGAACAGGCGGAGGAGGACACTGCTATGTTATGGCATAGGAGGCTGGGGCATATTGGAGGAAAAGGTCTGGAGACTCTAACATCAAAGAAGTTGGTGGATGGAATTCCGAGCTGCTCTATGGGGTTTAGATTTTGCGAGCATTGCCTGCAAGGGAAGCAAAATCGGGTATCTTTTGATTCCATAGGAGGAAGAGCTGAGGGGGTTCTGGACTTGATACACAGCGACGTGTTTGGCCCCACACCTGTAGCATCACATGGAAAATCAAGTTATTATGTTTCTTTTACTGATGATTTTTCAAGATATGTGTGGTTATATTTCTTGCGCAGCAAGGATGAAGTGTTCGATAAATTCTGCGAGTTCAAGGCTTTGGTGGAAAATCAATTTGATCAAAAAATCAAGGTGCTGAGAACTGACAATGGAGGGGAGTTCTGTTCAACAAAATTTGACCAGTTTTGTGCGAGCAATGGGATTGTAAGACAGAAGACTACGCCCTACTCACCTCAACAGAATGGGGTGGCAGAGAGGTTGAATCGATCTCTCATGGAGAAAGCACGGAGTATGCTGAGCGGTGCAGGCTTGGCAACTGAGTTTTGGGCAGAGGCAGTGGCTACTGCTTGTTATCTGAAGAATAGATCTCCTACATCAGCTTTGAAGGAGAAGACTCCGTATGAAGCACTGTTTAAAAAAAGGCCAGACGTATCTCATATCAGAGTGTTTGGCTGTGAAGCTTATATGCACGTACCCAAGGAGAAAAGTAACAAGCTTGACAGTAAATCTGAAAAGTGTATCTTTATTGGGTACAAGGATGGCGTCAAAGGTTATAAGTTGTGGAATCCGGATACTAGAAGTGTAACTTACAGCAGAGACGTTGTATTCAGAGAATCTAAGTTGAATCAGATTTTTCCTGAAGCTCCTGAAAAGTCACAGACGGTGGAGTTGGATGTGGGTTTGACAATAAACTCACAGATTGAATTGGAAAATTTGAATTCTGAAGCTACTGAATATAATGAGGTAGAGGATGAATTTTCTGAAACTGAGGCTGAGGTTGAAGCACCAGTGCTGAGGAGATCCACGAGGGAAAGAAGACCATCTGAGAGGTATACACCTGAAAATTATATCCTGTGTGCTAGTGATGATGTTTGTGCATTTAGTATTACAGGTGATGATCCGAGCACTGTAAAACATGCGAGGAGCTCGGAGGATGCCAAACAGTGGGAGGAAGCTATGAAAGAAGAGATGAAGTCTCTGATGAAAAACCAAACTTGGAGTTTGGTGAATCTACCTGCAGACCGAAAAGCAATTGGTTGCAAGTGGGTGTTCAAGAAGAAGGTTGGTGCCAATGGGAAGATTGAACGCTACAAGGCTCGATTGGTTGCAAAGGGATATTCACAGACAGAAGGGGTTGATTATGGTGAGGTATTTTCACCTGTTGCAAAGTTAAATTCCATAAGACTGGTTTTGTCTGTAGCAGCTGCATATGACCTAGAGGTGGAGCAGCTGGATGTGAAGACAACTTTTCTTCATGGTGATTTGGAGGAGGTTATTTTCATGAAGCAACCAGAGGGGTTCATTACAAGAGGCAAAGAGGAGCTAGTCTGCAAGCTGAATAAATCTCTGTATGGCCTGAAGCAGTCCCCAAGGATGTGGTACATGAAGTTCGACACTTATGTGCTGAAGCTTGGCTTTGACCGTTGTGATGCTGATCATTGTGTTTATGTGAAAAGGTTAGAAGGTGACTTTGTTATTCTAACTTTGTATGTTGACGACATGTTACTCGTTGGAAACAGTTTGAAAATGATCAGCACTGTTAAAGGACTGCTAGCAAAGCAGTTTGAAATGAAAGATCTAGGCGCTGCAAATGTGATCTTGGGTATGCAGATTAAGAGGGAGCGTGACAAACGAAGATTATGGTTAAG